GTATAAAAACATATTAAAATTTGGCGAGGACGTTATTTTTCATTTTAAGATAAAAATTTTTTAATTTGTAAATGCGCGTAGAACTACATGTAAACGTATGGTTTCACGACTGCCAGCATGGTGGGGGCTCCCTTCACTGCCTCATGCCCCACCATGCTGGCAGTCGTGAAACCGTACGTTTACATGTAGTTCTACGCGCATTTACAAATTAAAAAATTTTTATCTTAAAATGAAAAATAACGTCCTCGCCAAATTTTAATATGTTTTTATACATATCCCAAGCAATATTCTCAATTTTTTGCAGGCTTGAAGTTGCTTAAGAACAGGTTTAAAAAGTAAAAATAAAACTTGTTTTTTAAATAAATAATTAAAAAATTAAAAAATTTTAAACAAAACATTTTTTTATAAAAATTGAACATATTTTGAAGAAAAAATATATGAAACTTTTTTCTTATTTGCAATAACAAAGAAGTTATACTTAAATGAAAAAAAAGTTACACTAATTTGTTATTGTAATTAACTTGCAAAATATGAACAATATCAAATTAAAACTATGCATGCTTATTTAGGACTTCTCATATGAAATTTCCTGATGTATTACTTTACTAAAAGATTATGTAATCTGGATAATAAAAAATAATAATAATATGTAACTATTAAAATCGATAATATTTAAAAACAAATATAAGATTGAAATACTCCCTAGCGGATGGGTCCAACGCGTTTTAAACGGAATAGCGTTGAAACACCGTTGGGAACACAACGGTCACTAAAAATGTTATTTAAACAATAAAATATGATAAAGTATTTATTGGTATTTGTAGAAAAAGTGTTCATGAGTAATTTAAGACCTTATTTGTATCAATTTAATACGAAATAAGTGAAATAAAAGATAAAATATGGAGCACTGTTATAGTAGGGTATTTTGTCAAATTTTTATATAATACAATGAAAAATGTTTTAGATATGATTTTTTAATAATAGAAAAACAGTGAAAAAGTATTAATTTATTATTTTAAAGCATTTAAAAGGGTAATAAATAGTGAAAATTAATGTGTTTATTGTGGAGTTTTTGTGTGTATTACACAACGTTTATCGACAGCAAGTTATAGGTTACATTGGTGAACGCTAGATGGCAGCACAGTAAACAATTATGTGGAGATTTTACTTGATATTTCATATTATGGTTCTCCAAACCATGTAAATATATTAAGAGAAATTAAATAAAATTAGTCCATATTTATAATAATAAATATAAGAATTTATTTGTAACTACAAGACATTTTGATAGCACGTGGATAAAACTATGTTATTTACTCAATTACTCTATGCGTACTAATCTAACCATCTACGGCAACCTGACTCCCTAGCAACGGTTGTCAAGGTTCGCGTCAGCCCATCACGATGTAAAGTGGGGGGAAAGATAAAGCTCTCCCCACATATTCCCCCCCGAATGATAATGATATAAGAATTAAAAGTATGAATAAAAATTTGTATATACATAAAAATAACACCCATAATCATAATAAAATATTGATAATATTACAGATTCAAATGAAAATTATAATTTATAATAAAATCTAATAATCACATAACTTTTATAAATACCGATGGGACTGACGAGGAAAATTTATTTCCTATCTAAAAAAAAATAAACTATCTATATACATAGTTTTTATCTTAGTAAATGTATAAAAAATATTTTTTATTTAAAACGCAAAAAAAAAACTAACTAATAGAACGTGCTATCTACATTTTTGGAAAGGCAAGAAATACTGTACATATAATACTATATATCCAACGCGATCACACTCATTCAATTCACACTTTAAAATTTACTTGCTTTTTTCTTGCATAAGTTCTGAGTACAGTAGATTTATTAAAAGTTACATTCGATGGATCACTTGTTATTGGGATAATTGGTGTTGCATTGGAAGAAGAAGTTGGTTGATTTGGTGGTTGAATGGTCAAACCCTTTTTTACATGTGATTTCTCCGGAACTCTTTTTACATTATCATCCTCTGCTTCTCGAAGAAAATATGCGGGTTTGAGCATTTCAACGGAAACATTACGAGAAACTCCATTAACCTGAATCTCAAAAACACGATCTGTAATTCTTTTGATGATTCGATGTGGACCAGAATAAGGCGGTTCGAGAGATTTTCTGATATGACCTGCACGAAGAAATACGTGCGTACATGAATAAAGATCCTTAAAAACAAATGCTCGACTTTTATGGCGGTGTTCAACGGGAATGGGCTTAACTTCCCTCATAATTTCTCGATATTCCTCCAGAAAAATTTGTGGGTTAGGTGCAAAATCATCGTTCAAGACGAATTCACCAGGGATTCGAATTGTTGTGCCGTATAGAAATTCTGCAGGGGATGAACCACAGTCCAAAACGTTGGATCTCAATCCTAACAAAACAGTAGGTAGAATGCGTGACCATTCGCGCGTGGCATGACACATGAGAGCGGCTTTAAATGTTCTATGCCATCGCTCAATAATGCCATTTGAGGCAGGGTGGTATGCAGTGGTGCGGATACGTTTGGAGCCGATGAATTTGAGAAGCGCTTGAAAAAGTGCAGACTCAAACTGGCTGCCCTGATCGGTGGTGATCGTTTCAGGCGTTCCAAAACGTGATACCCAGTTGTCCATGAGCGCGCGGACCACAGTGATTGCCTCGATGTCCTTTAGGGGAACGGCTTCCGGCCACCGCGAAAATCGGTCTATCATTGTTAAACAATATTTGAATCCAGAATCAACGGGAAGAGGACCAACAATGTCTATGTGAACATGAAGAAATCTTGATTCCGGTGCCACAAAATGCGAGGGTTTTAGACTGACATGTCTGGTTATTTTAGATCGTTGACAATCCAGACAATTTTTACATAATTGGGAAATATCCTTATGCATGTTGGGCCATACATAACGCTTTCGCATAATACGATCCATGACCTTGGCACCTGGATGTGCTGGAGAGTGCAACAAATGAAAAACACGTTCACGTAAGGAAACGGGAACAAAAGGTCGAAGAACTTCACCAGATAGATCGCAAAATATAAAATCGTTTCCCTGACCAAACATGATTTTTTTTAGGTTTAATGATGTTTTTTCATTTTCAAGGTAAGCCTTCAACTCTGGACATTGACTTTGAGCTTCAGCAAACTCAGGAAGAGTGATTTCCGAAGGGAACAAAATAGCATCGAGACGAGATAATGCGTCAGCAACAACGTTCTCCGCACCAGAAATATGCTCAATAGTGGTGGTAAATTGTGAGATGTAAGACAATTGTTCGATTTGACGTGGAGATGCTTTTTCAGGACGCTGCTTGAAGGCGTAAACGAGAGGTTTGTGATCAGTCACAATTTTAAAATCGTGAGGACCTAGAAAATATTTAAAGTATTTGACCGCCTCAAAGATGGCCGTCAATTCGCGATCATAAGCACTATAATTGCATTGAGCAGGTGTCAGTTTCTTGGAGAAAAAAGCAAGTGGTCTCCAAACGTTTCCGAATTTTTGCTCGAGAGCTGCGCCAATTCCAGTGCTAGACGCATCGGTAATTAAGCGTGTCTCGGCAGTAGATGAAGGATGAAATAACAATGCAGCATTGGCTATCTCATTCTTGATCTGCTCAAAAGCTGCTTCGGAAACGGAATCCCAAGGTACAATTCGCTTATCATTCTTGCGAGAATCTCGCAAGAAATGATTAAGTGGAGCCTGGATTTGAGCGGCATGTTTGATACTTCGGCGATAAAAATTTGCGAGACCCAAGAATCGGCGTAATTCGACGATAGTCTTGGGACGCGGAAAATCTGAAATAACTTTAATTTTCTCAGGAGTTGGACGAATGCCCTCACTGTTGACAATATGACCCAAAAACTCAAGTTCATCCTTACCAAAAAGACATTTATCTAAGTTCAATCGCAAACGAAACCTTTTTAAGCGATCGCATACTTCGCGCAGATGCAACTCATGCTCAACTATAGAGGAAGAGGCTATGAGTATATCATCTATATACACAAAAACATAGTCCAGGTCACCCAACGCTTGAAAGATGTAGCGCTGAAAAGTTTGGCCTGCGTTGCGCAAACCAAATGTCATTACATTGTACTCAAATAAGCCAAAAGGCGTTATAACAGCGGTTTTTTTAATATCATCTGGGTTAACCGGAATTTGATTGTATGCTTGATGCAAATCCAATTTCGTAAAAATCGTTTTACCGTGAAGTTTCGACGAAAAATCGTGCAGGTGAGGGACAGGATAGCGATCGGGCTCAGTAACATTATTGACGCCACGATAATCCCCGCAAACTCTAATTCCACCGTCTTTTTTTTCGACTACATGAATGGGAGAAGCCCATGATGATTTTGAATAACTACATTTTCCCTGCGCGATCATTGATTGAAAATAGGCTTTAACCTCACTTTCTCTTTTAGCGGTCAAACGACGAGCACGAGCAGCAATTGGGGGACCCTTTGTGACTATGTGATGTTGGACGTCTCCCGGCAAATCCTCTAAACCTTGAGATGGTCTTGTAATCTCTGGAAATTCTGATAGAATATTTGCGAATGGCAAAGATTCATCTATCAAGCTCACGCTATGAACCTCAACTTTCCTGATGGAACATGCTACTGAGAGACTTGTCAAAGAATCTAAAAGTCTACGGTGACGAAGGTCCACAAGCAAACCATAATGCTCCAGCAGATCGGCCCCAATTATCGGGTACGGAATTGCTGCAACACAAAAATCCCATGACAAGTCACGCCTGAGACCGAGGTTGAGAGACATATGTTTGGTTCCATATGTGGGAATTCGAGAGTTATTTGCTGCGTAAAGATTAAATTCGGTAGGTTCACGAGAACGTGAATGTGACGCGGGCAACAAGGAAACATCTGCTCCCGTGTCGATCAAAAAAGTAAGACCCGATTCGCGATCTCTTACATGGAGACGCTTGGACTTATTGCCGGAACCAATGGTCTCAACTCGGATCGGCTCATTTAGTTTTCCGATTTTTTTTCGACTTTGTTTACCCAACTACAAGGTTCAACGCATGCCTTCGCCGACTTTTTAAATTTTTTATGGTACCAGCATAGACCTGATTTCTCTCGATTAAACGAATTACCTCGAGAATGGCTACGAGAATTGTTGCGACGAGATCTTGACCTTGAACGCTGCGAATAGCGATGATTATTATTTTCCGAATTTTCAAATTTCGACTTTATCGATGCGATTTCCGCGGTAATCTGATCCAATTTCGCTTCGAAACCTTTAGTATCGGTAGGTGTTGGATCAATTGAAGCTACATGATTGCTCAAAGAGTCGGTTGCATCGGCTATTTTGTCAGCTGACAAAGCCAAGTTATCTAGGGAATCGAATGGTAAAGATGCTAAAATTGCCCGATATTGAGATGGCAATTGATCGAGAAAAATTGTCTTGAGAATATCGTCGGAACACTTGCCCCCGCTTAAATTGCGTAAACGAGACAACATATGCGATGGTTTACCAGAGTTTAATACTTCGCCCTTAAGCAACTTCCTAAGTTGTGCTTCAGAAGAAGCTGAGTAAGTTGAAATAAGCCTACTCTTAATGCGTTGGTAAATATCAGCAGGAACGGTTTCTAATGCTAACAAATCGGCGATAGATAATGCAACATCCGCATCGAGTTCAGCAATCACAGTGTCAGCCCGAGACTTTTCGGAACGAATATTGTTATTTCGGAAAACAGCCTCGACAACATTAAACCAAATGACAGGATTATTCTGGTAAAATTTAGGGACTCTAATTCGGCGATTGTAAACCGCGTCAACATGAACGTCCGCATTTACTTGTTGATTGTTTACATCTCCTAGATTTTGTTGAACTGCATTTTCATTTTGAACTGCATTGGCAACGAAAGCTGCATTAGCATCATTTGCTACTTGGAGTTGTTCTGTCAAAAGGCGAACCTTTTCCTGGAGTTCTTCCATTTTTGTTAAAAATTAAAGAAAAATAAAATAAATCAAATACCGCGTTGAACACGACCAATAAAAAATTTATAAAAAAAAAATTTTAAATAACAAAAAATTTTGTTTAAGAGAGAAGAAAAAAAAAATTTTTTAAATAAAAAAAAATTTTGACTGTGAATAAAAAAAAAAAAAAAAAATTTAATTTAAAAAATCGGTTATCCGGGTCCACATATCCTCAAAAAAACATCAAATAAAATAAATTCCTTTTTTATAATCTAAAAGAAAAAAAAAAAACTTTAATTTAAAATACACGCAAAATAAGTAAACGACAAAAAAAAATATTTAAATATCTCAATGCAACACCAAAATAAGATCCATAAAATGAAAGAAAAAAAAATTTTGTCAAATGTCACAATATTAAAATGTCAATAACATAGAATTCAACATGAAAACAAAAAAAAAAAAAAAAACAGAACAAAATAAAATACTCCTGTCAAAATCTACAGCCACACAAAATTTCACAATGAAATAAAAATCCTAGATTTTAAACATGAAAATAAAGAATTGAAAGAAAAATATTCTCAATCAATCATATCCACACAAACACGCGCGGAAAGTACAATGTTTTTGTTTTTGAATTCTTGAAAGCATTGAATGATTACACATAACGCTTAAGTTCGAAAATCATAAAAAATACTAAATAAATTTCTCGAAATAGACATAGGAAAATATAAAGATGAAATAACGCAAATTCAAGCATTAATAAAATCAAAATGAATTTAATTTGATGGTAAAGCATTTTGAAATTTCAATGTTCGTAGAAAAATTTTCGAAAAAGATATGAAACTTAGTTAATATTTATTTAATAAAATTTTTCGAAAACAAATAAACAGGTTATAAAAATTACACTAAGAGATTGTTTAAATTTAATATTTAACAATTTGGTTTAACAAATTTAAGTAAAAATATAATAAGCTGTAGATTTATTCGTTGGACAACACTTGATCACAATATCATTGACATCACGAACACATATATAGACTTACGGCTAGATCCGTATACTCTAAACCTTCGTTGAAAAATGATGACGTATATTTGCTATAGACCAAAAGTGTTGACAGGAGGGGAAATCCTGCGTAGTAGAGGCGATACGAAGAAAATCCCAAAGAGAAATACGTCATAGAGAGGAAAAAAAAAAAAAATATGGCGTCCATCAATTTTTTGGCGGTAATTTCTCAACATTGAAATTGCGTCGACATGGAAAATATTCCTGGGTAAGACGTTTAATGATGCTGAAGAAATCCAAAAAATAACCAAAAATGACAGGATGTCTCCTGGAAGGATTGATAGGGGCGACAAAAACTCGTTCACCGAGTGGATGCTTGGCGGGAAAAGAGCATGGCATCACATCCGCACAAAAATTGTCGTCCACGAAATCAAAGTGCTCCAAATGAAACAGACATCCAAATTGTCCAAATGATGAATATCAATAAATAATGTTCACATAAAATATTAAATTTAATTTTCAGTGAACTTTTTTCAAGTTATTTGCCGGTAAAAATGGCGGCACTTTTTTCACAGCACGTGCTAAAATTTGTAGTACATTTAGAACATTAAATTCCAGCTTTTTATAGATTTTGACTGGAAAATATATAGAAAAACACATCGATCACTTAACCAAATAATCCAAATGATAAATTTGGCACAGGTACACGACACGATGGCAACAATTTCCATGAATTTATAAAAACGTGTTCTCGACTGTCGGGGTCACCAATGTGGAGATTTTACTTGATATTTCATATTATGGTTCTCCAAACCATGTAAATATATTAAGAGAAATTAAATAAAATTAGTCCATATTTATAATAATAAATATAAGAATTTATTTGTAACTACAAGACATTTTGATAGCACGTGGATAAAACTATGTTATTTACTCAATTACTCTATGCGTACTAATCTAACCATCTACGGCAACCTGACTCCCTAGCAACGGTTGTCAAGGTTCGCGTCAGCCCATCACGATGTAAAGTGGGGGGAAAGATAAAGCTCTCCCCACAATTAATAAACCTTTGACAAGAAAAATATTTAACCCACTGAACGTCGATGATGGATCTAGACACAAATAAAAGAAAATGCTAATGACTTATTAAATATTCATAAATAATGTTACTAGGGGGTCTTCGGGGTCGCTAATTACAAATTTCATATCAGATTTCCAAAATACAAAATACGAAATAAAATATAACGAATAAAAAAAAATTTTTAAAAAAATCAAATTCTTATCAGCTTGTTACTTGGGGGTTTTTGGAGTCGCTGATTACGAATCTGATACTAGATTTTTAAAATTCAAAATGGCGGATCCAATATGGCGGATCAAAACAATTAAACATTAATGGAATTCTCTCAATGCTCGTTACTTGGGGGTTTTCGGGGTCGCTGATTACGAATCTGATATTAGATTTTTAAAATTCAAAATGGCGGATCCAATATGGCGGATCAAAACAATTAAACATTAATGGAATTCTCTCAATGCTCGTTACTTGGGGGTTTTCGGGGTCGCTGATTACGAATCTGATACTAGATTTTTAAAATTCAAAATGGCGGATCCAATATGGCGGATCAAAACAATTAAACATTAATGGAATTCTCTCAATGCTCGTTACTTGGGGGTTTTCGGGGTCGCTGATTACGAATCTGATACTAGATTTTTAAAATTCAAAATGGCGGATTCAATATGGCGGATCAAAACAATTAAACATTAATGGAATTCTCTCAATGCTCGTTACTTGGGGGTTTTCGGGGTCGCTGATTACGAATCTGATACTAGATTTTTAAAATTAAAAATGGCGGATCCAATATGGCGGATCAAAACAATTAAACATTAATGGAATTCTCTCAATGCTCGTTACTTGGGGGTTTTCGGGGTCGCTGATTACGAATCTGATACTAGATTTTTAAAATTAAAAATGGCGGATCCAATATGGCGGATCAAAACAATTAAACATTAATGGAATTCTCTCAATGCTCGTTACTTGGGGGTTTTCGGGGTCGCTGATTACGAATCTGATACTAGATTTTTAAAATTCAAAATGGCGGATCCAATATGGCGGATCAAAACAATTAAACATTAATGGAATTCTCTCAATGCTCGTTTCTTGGGGGTTTTTGGGGTCGCCAATAACTGGGTCAAGTGGATGATTTTTAACCTCTGCTGAAAAATTCAGGTTATGTGATATGTTTTCATTCTAATGTCTTTAGAACAAAAAATATTATACCTGTTTTAAAAACTTTTATTTCTTAATATAGTAAATTGTAAATATTGTAAATTATTATAAATGTTTTATTACTTTGCTTAAGGGGGTAGTATCACATCTCAGAAACTTTTCTTAAATATTTCTTTTTATCACAAAATTTATTTTATTTAATACAAACTTTTTTTACCTAAAAGAAGGGGTTTCAAACTATTAAAAAAAAATTTTTATTAGGTTGGTAAATTTGTGTGGGAGAAATCCAAAATGGCGATGAAGCGGTGCACAAACAAACTTAAGAAATGTACGGGATGAAGTCGAATTTTTTTAATATCTCGCTTAAATGAAATTCTGGAACCTAAGTGTATCAGGATTTTCGTTTCTATTTTGGGTGAAGTTCCGAAAGCGTCTCACCTCCGATCTTAATGAAACTTGGTATACTATCGTATTTTGGTGCCCTGATTACGAAAGTGATAGTGAAAATTGGCGCAAATGTGATTATCTTGGTAAAAACCATAAAAAAACACCAAAAAATCATGGTTTTCTGCGATTATTTCGTAAAAAGCGCAAAATTTCGAAAAATGTTTAAAATAAAATTTCTGGGTCTCAAAAAAACACACATTTTATGATGTATGCAATTTTTACCAAAAGTAGTTATTTTTCGAGAAAAATCCCAAAAACCATAAAATATCATGTAAAATAACGGAAAAAACAGTGCACATCATAATTGAGCCGCTGGATTCTAGAAGGTGATTTTTTTTGACCCCTAATTTTCCCAAATTTTCCTGTACTTTGAAAAACTAATTTTAGGAAGTAAAAAAAAGAGGAAAAATGAATTTTTCTCAAATTTTCCCGTCCTTTGAAAAACTAATTTAAAAAGTAAAAAACGAAAAAAATTGAATTTTTCTTGGCCCCGAATTTTCCCAAATTTTCCCGTACTTTGACGGGGGGAGGCGGATATGGCCGGTATTCTGTGGACAAAGTCGGTGGGATCCACAGTAGCAGTTTACGCAATTTGATGTACGTGGTGGTTTACTTTCAAATACCAAATTTTTCTGTAATTGAGCCGCTAGATTCTAGAAGGGCACGTAAATTTTTTCGGCCGGAAAACGAAGTCCCCTGGACACTCAAAATTCATTTTTCGAATTTTAATATTTTTCGAGCATATTCTTATACAGAATTCTATTGCGCATCTTTTTTTCTTAATAAGAAATTTTTCATCTTTTTCCGTTTTCGAAATATAAGAGAAAAACTGTTTTTTTAAAAAAGAAAATTCTCATTGTTTTTTTGACTTCAACTCGCGACAGCTCAGACAATTTTACGAATTTCTTAATGAAACAAAAACGAAAATACGTGTTATTATATCCTACGAGTGACTAAAAAAGAAAAAATTTTTTTTGATTAAAAATAAAAAAGTTAATTATTTTTTAATGAGACATTGCAAAATTCATGAACTGCAATTTTCACCCTGTGAGGAATTTTCGTAAATTTTCACCAGCAACAAACTTCCAGTGAGAAAGTTGTTCATTTAGGTCCAAAGAAGTTTTCTGGAAAGTTACAATGCAATTGAACAATTAATAACAAAATGGCGAATGTTTAAACTTTAAAGTTGCGCGAGCGGCTGAACGTTTGGCATGTGTTTGCTACCATAATAAGCTCGATTGTATTATTACGTAGCAAACACATGCCAAACGTTCAGCCGCTCGCGCAACTTTAAAGTTTAAACATTCGCCATTTTGTTATTAATTGTTCAATTGCATTGTAACT